GAGGGATGGGAGCGCTGGGAGGGATGGGAAGGATGGGAGCGCTGGGTGCTGCTGGAGCTGTTGCTGCAATGGAGCCAACAAAGGGGAGTGGGGACTTCAGGAAGAGAGGAGACCTGATCCTGATCCTGATCCTGATCCTGATCCTGATCCTGATCCTGATCCTGATCCTGATCCTGATCCTGCCCAGCCAGAGGGCCCATGAGCAGCTCTGGAGGCTGGGGGCAGTTGGTGTCAGGGACTGGGACTGCCTCTGCACTGGATGTCCCCAAAGCAGCTGCTGGGGCTGAGGGTTTTGGAATCTGCAGGAGGATTTTGAGGAGCTCTTGCACAGGAACCTCCCCTGACCCTGATGCCCAGCCAGGTGGCCTCTCCCAAAGGGCTAAGCAAGAGCAAGCTGGTTGGATGCCCACAGGGAGCTGCAGGGGGTAGCTTTGCAGCCTCAGAAGATGCAGGTGCAGCCCACAGCGATGGTCTCCATCACCATCTGGTACTTCTTGTGACACTTCTTCTTGCCCGAGGGCCTGTGCCCCACCTCGGCCGGGCCCGGGCAGAGCAGGCGGCGCACGGGCAGCCGGCTGTAGATGGGAATGCTGGCCATGGTGCGGTCCTCCTGCATGGTGAAGGGGTTGATGCAGCCAGTGCAGAGGCACCGGGCCTCGGGAATGTCTGCTGGGATCCGTGTGGCATCGTGGTTTATCCTGGAGGACAAGGAAAGCAGGACAAAGCTGGAGAGATGGTGATGGGGGAGGTGGGTGGCTGAGGTGAGATGGATTCGGCATCACATCCTGCCACAGCCCCTGTGCTGGCACAGGGCCACCTTGCCTGTCCCCGAGGCCCCTCCCAAGCTCACCTGTAGGCCCAGGGGGACAGGCTCCTCCGGTTGGACCTCCAGAGCCTCAGGTTCACCTGGCACTTGGTGTCCCCCGGCTCGGAGCCGTTCCTCAGCTGGCGCACCATGTCCTGGATGCTGTGCTCGTACTCTGCCATGCTGGTGTAGGGGTCATCTGGGGCCCAGGCCAGGGCAGGGGGGGCTGTTGGTGGCCGTGCCAGGCCCCTTCTCCTGCCCTTGGCTGCCTTGCTCTGGTCCTTGGCTTCGGGAACCGGCACCATGGCGAAGGTGAAGATGCAGAGCAGAAGCTGAGGAAGAAGAGGAGGATGGTGAGTGGGCTTGGGCTGCAGGACTGGCACGAAAAGGGAGCTCTCCCTCCTCCCAGGGGTCCCCAGGCGATGGCAGGACCACATTGACTTTGAGGTGGCACATTCAATGCCCAAAGTGCTGGCCTGCAGGTGAGAAACACCTGAGGGCAGTTTGCAGGGATGGTGGGCACACGGTGGTGATGAGCTGATGTGTGTGGCTGCCCCTCACCCTGCTCACAGCTGGCAATTTGTGCTGCCCAAAGTGCCCCTGCCTGAGCTGTGCCCGGTGCCCTCCCTGCCCACCCTGAGGCAGTTACGTGCTGGGGGGGACCCAGCTCAGGCCATACCTGGGCAGCCTCTGCTTTAAAAGGAGCCTTACACAGATGAGACAGTCAAGAATGGGATCTTTATCCAAACCCTCCTCTCCCTCTCTCTGTGCTCTAAGGACGGTGAGAGAGAAAAGATGCTTTTTTCCTTCCCTTCTCCCTCCGGCCTGGCTGGGCCGAGCAGCCGTGTGCTGCCCCCCGGCAGGCTGCCCAGCAGGGAACAAAGTTGCTTTCTGTAGTCCTGCTCCCTGCTCTTGGTGTCCCTGCAGTGGCCCAGGCAGCCCCAGGCCCGTGGGGCAGTGTCCTGGGGCAGGGAGCTCTCGGCCAGGGCTGTTGTCCCCGTTCGGTGCCGGACTGTCCGGCCGGGCTGGCGTGGCTTTGCTCTCCCGGGCTGCTGCATCCTCACCCTGCCTGGCGTGGGAGCCCTGGCAGGCCACAGCGGGCACCTCCAAAGCAAACAACCCCAGGTAAACAAGCATGCAAATCATTCTATTAGAGAAGGAAAACGAGGAGCAAGCCCTGAGCTGCCGGGGAGGCACCTTACCAGGTTTGGAGCCCTCTCCATGGCCGCGGAGGGCTGCCGGCCGCTGTCCTGCAGTGTGGCCGGTCCCTGCAAGCCGGGCAGCTAAAAAGGGAAAGCCCCATCCCCCGGCTGTGCCCTGCCAGAGGTGTGTCCGGTCCCCAAGGTGCCAGGGAGCCTCGGAGCAGACAGGGCAGGGGGCCAGCGTGGTCTGGGACTCGGCCAC